GTGTCTTTTTTTTTTTTTTTTTTTTTTTTTTTTTTTAAGTAAGGAGCTTTCAACTCCTAACACAAGCTGCAGAATACAGGAGACCGACCTGATACATTTCTGTATCTGGGCAGTCAGGAAAGTGCCATCCAGGGTGGCTAAACACTGCCCTCTGCTGGTGGATATTAGTTAGCTCCATGGCCAAAAATGGGAGCAAAATGCGTGGTTAGCAATAGGTGAGCAAAAATAGGGTGTACTGAGTATTTGGGGGTTCTCCAGGGTTGTGACCCATTTCTTTCCCTTTCCTTCCTAACCCGGCCTACAGTATTCTGACCCCACTTCATGGAAGTCTCCAAAATGGGGACCCTGCGACAACACGCTCTGCTGTGGTTGTGTTCCGCTGTGACTCCAGGTCCTGCCCCGTGAGCAGAAGGGTGAAGTTACCCGCTGAAAGAGAAAGTTACCCCCTGAAAGGAGAGAGGGCTTTCCTGGGTATCCTTGGGGCGAGATGGCCAGGCATCCTTCTTTGGGGGGAAAAGGAGATCCAACAAAATGGAGTTTTGGAAGCAGACCAGAGTGCAGATCCTAATTCTGCCCGCATTTATGCAGATGGCTTCGAACGGGCTACCTCACCTTCCCAAGCTACGGACCTGCCTGTGTCACGAGGTGGACGGATGAGACGTGGCCCAGTTACAACATCCAGCCCAAACGTTAGCACAGCTTTCATTTTTCACTGTATCACACACCTTGCTTCTCCAGTATGTGGAAGGCACATAGCTCGCGAAAACACAGTTGTAGATGGAGATCAGGAAAACACAGCTGTGTTCCTGCAGAAAGTTAGAATCTGGTGGGTAGAGATGCGAGTCTCAGAACTTGCACAGGTGTCTGGGGTCTGAGAAATGGGTGAGATTTCATAGGTGGACTTTGGAAGGCAAGGGTTTGGCAGGGATGGAGAGAATACGAGAAACAGCGTAGACAGGAGATTTCAGCCGGATTGGAAGGCTGGCGTGGGGGAGGGGAAGAGCTGGAGGAAGGCGGGCAGCAGCCAGACAGTGGGAGAGTAAGTAAATATCACGGGATTTAGGTTTTAATTAGTAGGGGATAAAGAGTCCTTGAGAGTGGTTTGCTTTGCTTTTATGATGCAGAAGGTTAAACTCTCCGGTGATTCGCCAGCCATTTTTATTTTTTATTTTGAGATAAGGTGTCACTAAATTGCCCAGGGTGGGTTCAAACTTGATCTCTTCCTGCCTCAGCTTCCGCATCGCTGGTATTTCAGGTGTGTGCCGCCACACTGGGCTCTTAAAGGTAGTTTCTGAAAGGAAAATTAAGGTGGCAGCAGTTATGCTTGGGAAAAGAGGCTCTGGCCTTAGCCTAGAGCGGGGTAGCTTATTGGTTGAGTCCCTGGTGGGTTATTGCATTGCCGAGATTCCAGCAAGGGAGGAGGCGTTTAGGCTGAGAGAGATTCCAGGGGCTGAATCTGAGGACCCGATGCCCCGTCCGGTACAGAAAGAGGACGGAGCTATCAGAACCTAACCCCTATTTGAGAATGGAACCTCGTCATAAAGGACAGCCCGAGGGGAGGTGGATTTGTGGGGCGTACTTGATGGCCAGCTTCTCCCCGAGCTCAGGGTGACACCTGCCAACGTCTAGCCAAGTCTAGATACACAGGAAGAAAAGTGACCCCCAGTCAATAGACGCTGGTCAAAGAACACGGGGTTTTCTTGCCAAACACTCTGTGCAGCCACCTGCTTCAGGCTTCCAAGGAGGTCAGGCTTTGCCCTAAGCCCAAAGCCACGAGAAGTGTTCTGACTCAGATCTTGAGCAAATGGTTCCTGCAGAGCTGGACAAGCTGATGTCTGGACCCCTGCACCCTAGAGCGGTCAGCTCACAGCCCAGCCTCCCATTCCCACCAGTGGAGATGGTGGCGTCTAGATTGTGACCTAATCAGTCGTGTCTGCTCATGGCCATAGCCTCGATGTAAATGATCCCCACAGACATGGACTTGGGCTCTGGGGGCCGATGCTGGCCTGGCGTCTCACCTCTGCCGCCAAAGGACCCAAGAGGAAAAGTTTCCTCTTCCCAAACCTTGATGTATCTGGCTTTTTTTTTTTTTTCTTTTTTTGGAACCGCAGATCAAACTCAGGACCTTGTTTTTGTGAGACAGGTGGAAGAACGACTGAGCTGAATCCCCAGCTCTTTGCTGTATCTGAAATAGGAGAACCCAGGTACCCTCTTGCCTTCTGCTTTTGATTACAAGCTGATCACCCCAATCTCAAAATCCAAAAAGCTCCCAAATTCAAAACTTTTGGGGCACCAACTGACGCCCACAAGTGGAACGATCTTATGCACAAAATTACTTAGAATATTGCATAAAATCACCTCCAGCCTGTGCTATGAGAAGCATAAGTGGATTTCACATCTATACCTGATTCTCATCATGGGTCCCATCGCCAAGTTATCTGATTCATAAACATTGCAAAATCCAAAAATTCCAAAATCTAAAATACTTCCGGTCCCAGTTTCGGCTAAGACTCAACCTGTAATACTTGTGTAAAGGAAGTGGCCAGGTGTCAACATGCCTTAGTGTGTATATGGATTTGTTTCATCTTCAAATATCTAAACAGTTC